GGGGAACTGCCTGCTGAAGTGTGCTCTGTGCATCTGCACTGGCCCTTACCAGGTTCCTGTTAAGTATCAGACTGACTCTAGTCTTTAGTGACCACAAACAACACTGCTGCTATTCTTTCACACACACATGTGTGTCTCTGCAAATATGTCTGTTGAATACATTTCTAGAAGTGCAACAGCTTTGGTCAGCATGTGGGTACATTTTTAATTTTGAGAGATTGCCAAATTGCTTTCCAAAGAGGATACCCAAATTTAAATTCTCACTTATTGTCTAACTTTTCTCATTGTAACTTTTATTTATGTATGGAAGGGATTCCAAAAGAGAATTGTTATTTTATTATCTTTTTTTGAATAATAAGAGCTGTTGATAATAAATATCATTATAAATGTTGTTTTAGTCACTTCAGTAGAGTGCATAGAGAATCCAGCCAAGAAGATGAGCTGCACAAGGAAAAAGAAGGTGCTTAATTAATTAAAGAAATTACTGAATAGAGATTTCACATTGAAAATTAGATTTATTCCTTCTTGCATGAAGACCTTAAAAACCACTCCTTGGCAGCCTCCCTCACTGTAGTCAATTTCCAAACTGTGCCCTGAGTGGCCACTGAGCCTCCTAGCTGTGTTTGAATAAAGCTGGTTCCAGAAGACAAAGACCCTTTAATGGTCCCAGCCTACTAGGGACCTCTGGCACCCCCTGCACTCAGCTTGGAAGCCATTGTGGATCTGAGGTGCCAAATAGAATGTACATTCCAGATATGTGGTCAGAAGTGACATGTGGCTTAGAAGAGGCGGATTGCAGAGGAAAAATGGCAAGCTGAATCCAAGAGGCTTCATATGAAAACAATCCAGATTTTAAATCTTTTCAGATTGTCCATGGTTACCTTTCTGGGCCTTTATGTCATCTGCAATGCACATCAGTTCCTCTTAGTAAACTTAGGTATAGCTCTGGAACATTCCCAGGATTGCTAGGAAAGTTTATTTTAAAAAGACTCTAATGATGATCTACAGTAGTTTCCCTTTATCTGTGGGGGATGTGTTCTGCGACTCCCAGTAGATACCTGAAACTGTGGAGAGTACCAAACTCTATAATTTTCAAATAAGCAATTATACTGTATGGTTGCAGTTTGAGGTGTGACAGCAAAACTAGCATGAATTTCTTTTTCCTTCTTTTCGATTTCAGATTGTTACTATAGATCTTAGCAACCTCAGTGTATGATCTTTTTTCTTTTCTGATTCAGTCAAGAACTTCTACCTTTTCAGTTAAAGGAAGTACTTTATAGCTCCTCTCTGGCGTATCAAGTTGCCAGTAATACTCTCGCACTTTGGGGTTGTTAGTAAGTAAAATAAGAGTCACTTGAACACAAGCACTGCAGTACTGAAGGAGTCTGTCCAATAATGCAGACAGCCACTAAGTGACTAATGGGTGGGGAGTATTTACAGTGTGGCCATACTGAACAGAGGGAAGGTTCACCTCCTGGGCAGGAGTGGTAAACCATCCTTAGAATGTCATACAATTTAAACTTATGAATTGTTCATTTCTGGAATTTTCCATTTAATATGTTCAGATTGAGGTCATTGAAACCTCAAAAATCAAAATTCCAAATAAGGAATTCCAAACACTGCATTGAGTTGCTTCACCCTTCACTTAACTGTCTTCCATAGTTTTGTGCCCTTTTTTTTTACTAGAATTTGACCATACCATCCAGGGAACTTTCTCATTGTTGCAGAAAAATGAATGTTGGGAAGAATTTCACCTAAATATACATTGTGGAAATAGTTGCACAACTTTGTGAATACACTAAAAACTGTTGCATTGTATGCTTTAAATTAGATAATATTGTAAGATAATATTACATATTTATAATATATAAGTATATTTATATCTCAAGAAAGCTGTCAGTGGTACAGTGCTTGCCTAGTATGTATGCAGCACTGGGTTTGATTCTCAGCACCACATATAAATAAATAAAATAAAGGTCCATCAACAATTTTTAAAAAATGACTGTTGATATTAAAAGATAACTATCTTTTTTATAAAAATAAGGTGACAGAATTTATACAAGGGCTAGATGTCTTTTTGGTTTGAAGTATAAGGTAAAAAATGTGAGCTCCTGGCATCATAAATGGTCAACAGCAGCCCTGCAGTAGCAGGCACCTTCTTTGGAGGGACACCTCACCCCACAGGGAGGGGAGGAGGGACCTAAAATTGCACACACACACAGCCCTTGCATTCAGCATCTCTCACCTGACCTGAGGTCAGCAAGGAAGATGAAAATAGCTTACCATCAAAATTGCCCTTGGCCACGTTAAAATTTAAAAAAAAATTCTGTAACTGCTTAGAAAGTACATTGTGCATTATTTTTATATCCAAACCTCATACCTTAATACGTGGGTGCAAATATATCTCATGTACAATAATGTACAGTTTTTAAGAATGTTAAATATAATTTAAGTACTGTTTAATTTTATGGCCTATTTTTTGACCAAGTATATGCAGATGAATTTTAGTAAGTTAAATGTTGGTATGAGGGGATCCAACCTTCAGATACACTATAAGGACTTGAATCTAATCTTAAAAGTTGGAGGTATTATAGATGATTTAGTATATAATTGTGATTGGTCCTGGGTAATCTGTAGGTAAAGAGTCTTCTGTTGAGGTTCATTGCTGGAAAAATTTTAATCCTGCCATCCCAGCAAAATGCAATGGGAACATAAACCTTCTTTAACCCTCATCAATTAATTCTAGAGGAAGCACTCTATAGTGGTTACGAGCATTTAAGTCCTAAAGTCAGTTCTCCTTGGTTCCACTCTCAACTCTAAATGAGTGACAGCCTCTCCAGGCTTAAGTTGAGAAGAAAATAGTGGCAGGATCAGCATTGGAGACTGTCGAGAGTTTTGATTGACATTTCTGTGGAAACACTTGGCCTGGCACACAGTGAGATTAGCTTCTGCTGTGATCTTAATGTTGATGTTCCCCAAAATGAATATGTTGAAATTCTCACTTGTAAGGCAATGGAATTAGGAGGTGGAACCTTTGGGAAGTGATTAGGTCATGGAGGCAAAACCCTCATAAATGGAATTAGTGCTCTTATAAAAGACCCAAGAGAGGGCCCTTCATCCTTCCACCAAGGAGGTTAGAGTGAGAATACCATTATTCCTGAGAAAGTGATTCTTCACTAGACAGGGCATCTATTGGCACTCTGACCTTAGACTTTCCAGCCTTCAGAACTGTGCAGAATATATTTCCATTGTTCACAAATTACCTAGTCAATGGTATTTTATTATAACAGCTTGAATGGACTTGACAGTTACTATGAATATCCTTGAACCCCAATAACTTCATGTTTCGTATTATTGCTTTTTTCCCATTAATACAGACTTATGGTCATTCCATTCTACATATGTTTATTGAACAAGAATTATGTGCCAAAACACATAAAAATGTATGGACATGCCAGCCTGTGTGCTTGTCAAAAGTCTATTTTGTGTTGTTATTACAAAATAGCACAGGCTACTAACTTTTTTGTAATAGTTTTTTTTTATATCTTGATTTTATTTATTTATTTTTTTATGTAGTGCTGAGGATCGAATCCAGGGCCTTGCACGTGCTAGGCAAGCACTCTACCGCTGATCCAAAATCCCAGCCCCCAGGCTGCTAACTTTATAAGTAAACAAATTTATTTGGTTCATGATTCTTGTAGCTGAAAGAGCCAAACAGCATAGCACCCAGGGCCCAGGTGAGGGCTCCCATGTGTGCATAACAAGAGAAGCAGAAAGGGAAAAAGTTGCAAAAGAGACCAAACATGTGGAGTGGCCTCACTTTATCACAACCTGTTCTCATGAGAACTAATTCACCCCTACAAGACCCAACCACACTGCAACACCAACACCAGTCCATTCCCAGGGTGGAGCCCCCATGACCAAATTACCTTTCACTAGCTCCACCCACCTCTTAAAGATTCCACCCTCTCAACACCACCACACTGGAGACCAAGTTTCCAGCACATGAACCTTTGGGGGGACAAACAACATCCAAACCATAGCAGCTCTTGTCAGGGAATATAGATGCCCATGAAGCAAGACTTACATCAGTATTGCCCAGAGATGGGAGCACTCATGTCAAGAGCCAGAAGAAGCCTCCTCTGGAAGGTGGGGTGGGAACTGAGCTCTGAAGTGGGCAGTTTTTTCTCAAGTGGGGACAAAGAGGTTGAAAGGACAGAGGGATAATGGAATGGGACACTTACAGAGCAGGAGAGAAGCAGATGCAAATGGGGGGCATAGTTGCAAACAGGGGAGTAGAAGAATGTGGAAAGGCAGATTATTACTTTCTATTTGGAAAAAATATTACTTTGAAATACAAATACAGAAAATAAAGTCAAGTAAAATCTTGGCTCGCCACCCTGGCTTTGCAATCAGGACTATCCAGGGCATGAGGGGCATAAGATGGATTTTCTTGCAGTAATAAAAGTAGTGCTTATTTATGGTCCAATTCCAAGCCATACAGACAAGTGGAAAGTGGAAGCAAAGGCTCCAACTTCTGTCCCCACCTTCCACAGGTGGCTGCTGTGACTCTTTTATGATTCATCTCAGGCATGTTCTGTAGAAATCAAAGAACACATGGAGTTGGGGGCTTTTACATGTCCCAAGATGACTGGATTGCTTTGCTAACTTCTACAAATGCCACACAATGAAAGCTTTCTTGTAAGTACATCCAGAGGATAAATTCTCTGCAGTGGAATTGCCTGGCCAAGGGGTATGGCACAGGATTCATGAGCATTTTTGTCATAAGGGGGAAGGACTAAGTACAACACCCTTCTAGAAGCAGGAGGGAAGCGCCATTCTTCAGTTATGCCAGGGAGAGCCACGTTTTCCTCTGCAAGCAGCCTGAGAGCCTTCCTGAGATGCCACCTGTGTCTGCATTCCCAGGAGTATTTTCTTTTAAAGATGATCAGAGATTTTTTTTTTTTAATGTGACTTTTTTTTCTCTTTGAACAGGAATCTTCGCCTACATGAACTACAGAGTCCCTCGGACAAGGAAGGAGATTTTCGAAACCCTCATCAAGGGCCTGCAGAGGCTTGAGTACAGAGGCTACGACTCGGCAGGTAGGGGCTGCAGGTCACCTCATGGTCTTGGGACGCTTGAGCAGCTTCTTCTCTCACCCATTTCCTTTTTGGTGGGGCTTTGTACAACCTAGGCATTTTTCTGATACTTCTCCTTAATGTTTCTTTTCAATATAAAAAATAACATTTGTTCATTAAAGAAACTTGAAAACTCTAGAAGAGTAGAGAAAACTATCTCTTTTTTTTAATGGACCTTATTTTATTTATTTATATGTGGTGCTGAGAATTGAACTCAGCACATGCTAGGCAAGTGCTCTACCACTGAGCTACAACCCCAGCCCCAAGAAAACTATCTTTAAAAACTATAGAAAGGAAGAAACAAGGGTTAAAAATAAAAACAAAAACAAAAATATATATTATTGATGGTGCAATAATATATCACCTATGGTCAATGATACTATACTGTTTACTTAAAAAGTTTGCACTCAGTAGAGTGGCACATGCCTGTAATCTCAGTGGTTTGGGACACTGAGGCAGGAGGATTACAAGTTGAAAGCCACTCTCAGCAACTGTCTCAGAAAATAAAAAGGGTATGTGGGATTGGGGCTGGGGCTCAGCAGTAGTGCACTTGCCTGGCATGTGAGAGGCACTGGGTTTGATTCTCAGCAACACATATAAATACATAAATAAAATAAAGGTCCATCAACAGCTAAAACAATATTTTTAAAAAGGGGTGGGGGGAACGGAGATATGGCCCAGTGGTTAAGCACCCCTGGATTCAATCCCTGGTATTAAAAAAAAAAGTTTTTGCTAGGAGGGTAGATCTTATATTAAGTGCTCTTAACACACATAACACAATAATAATTTTAGTAATAATAATAAGAATAAGAGGAAACTTTTGGAGATGGGTAAGTTTATGGCATAAATTGTGGAGATCAATATTTACTTCCAAACTCATCAAGTTGTACACATTAAATATATACAACTTTCCGAATGTCAACCATACCTCAATAAAGTATCTTCCATCAATATCTCAGTGCCCTTCATGTGGTCATTGTTGTATATTGATCTAGTCTGAACTGGGAAAGGGTCTCTACCCTTCCCCAGTTATATATAGGTGTTATACATAGATTTTGTTTGTTTTCCCTATCATATTTATACAATTTTGTAATCAATGTGTATATGGGTATGGGTATACTTTTTCTTTTTTCTTTCTTTTTTTTTTTTTTTTTTTTTGGTATTGAGGATTGAACTCAGGGCCTCTCATATGCTAAGCACATGTTCTATGATTGAGCTACATTCCCAGTTCCTATAATTTTATATTCTTCTTTTTTCATTTAGCATTTCCATTATTCTAAACTCTTCCTAAATATCTTTCTGATTATTGACAATCATCCCCTGAATGGCTATCTCAGGGTTTCCTCCTCTACCTGCCAAATAGATGAATATTTAGTCTTTCCCCATTGTTAATTAAGCAATCTGAAAAGTGGAGTAAAACCAGATAATTTTATATCCCTATCAGTTCTTAAGAGAAAGCGAGTCAGATAAAAGGTCACAGGCACACTAATGTGTGAGTGAATGAAAAGAGCAGATAAAATATAATGCAAAGAGCACAAAGGATCAGTGCCCTTGAATAAGCCCATTGCCATTAGTAGCAGGTGTGGTAGTGCCTGCTGGGCAGCCAAGACCAGGATCCAAGCATATATTTCCCTGCTTACTGGGAAGTATGGCCATAGTTGTGGCTCCTTCTTTCAAAATAGATTCCTGAAAACTATTTAGTTGTCTTTTGGTAGGCAATACTGGGGAACAAAAATGATAATAAATAGCACTTATGACCCTAATGCTGGAGAGTACAGTTGTCCTCCAGGAACCTCTGCAGACACCAGAATTCATAGATGATCAAGTTCCTCCTATAAAATAACATTGTATTTGCATATAACTTTCCCACATCCTCCTGCATACTTTAAATCATTTCTAGATTCCTCATAATACCTAATACGATGTAAATATTTTTTTTTCATGTTTAGGGCAGGAAAAAAGTCTGTAAGTATTCAGTATAGATGTGATTTATTTATTGATTTCAAATATTTTCTGTCAGTAGTGGGCTGGTCCCATGGATGCAGAAGCTTCAGATAGGGAGGAACATCGTGATGAGGTGTGTGTGACAAACTTAACTCTCCACCATAAAAAATAATGTTTATGTGTCCAGTTCTGTTAAATTCTAGAACAGGCAAAACTAGTTTATTGTGATGGAAACTGAATGGCCATTGCCTCTTTGGGGATGGGGAAAGTGAATGGAAATGACCTAAGGGATATTTCTGGGTAATAGAATTGTTCTGTAGCTTGTAGGTGTGTAGGTCACACTAGTATATGCACTTATCAAAGCTCATTGATTTTTGCATTTTACAATTTCAATAAAAATTAAAGATATAAAAAAAATTTTAATTACAGGTGTGGCCATTGATGGGAATAATCATGAAGTCAAAGAGAGACATATTCAGCTAGTCAAGAAAAAGGGAAAAGTCAAGGCTCTGGATGAAGAACTTTACAGTAAGTAGGAAATGTTCTACATTAGAGTAATCGATGTGGCTTGGGTCACTTGAAAATACTATATTCCAACAGAACCCTAGACTAAAAATATGAATTTATCTAAGCTTGGATAAATAGCAGGAAGGTTAAGTCCATGTTGCAAAAATTCACATTTTGTAAGATGTTTAATTTGAGTCAGTGGCACATGGAGACTTTTAAAAAAAATTTTAATAGTTATGTATTTTTTTATTTTAATTTTGCTGGCCAATGATATTGCTTTTCTACTTATAGTAGTGATATATCATTTTCTTTTTTTCCCTTCAGTACTGGGGATTAAACTCAGGACCTCACACTTACTAAGCAAGCACTCTATCACTGAACTACATTCCCGATCCTTTTTATTTTGAGACAAGTTCTCACTAAGTTGTCCACATTGGTCCCAACTTGGTGAGCCTCCTGCCTCAGCCTGCAAAGTAGCTGAGATTGCAGGTGTGTACCACCATGCCTAGCTATCATTTTCTTTTTAAAGGCAGTTTATTTTGGTTAAGAAATGAGTTAAGTTATTTTTTTTTAAAAGAGAGAGTGAGAGAGAGGTAGAGAGAGAGAGAGAATTTCAACATTTATTTTTTAGTATTTGGCGGACACAACATCTTTGTTTGTATGTGGTGCTGAGAATCGAACCCGGGCCGCACGCATGCCAGGCGAGCGCGCTACCGCTTGAGCCACATCCCCAGCCCGAGTTAAGTTATTAAAGTACTAAATAAACTTCATCCTGGGTGGAACATGGGTCTGGCTGAAATCCCTGTGGTGGGGCATATGGGACTGATGGTGAGGATGGCTTGGACGATATGTCTTGGTGTAATGGCACCACCTCTGCTTAGCAGCCCTGTGTCAATGCTTACTTTTTAAAGTGCATCAAACTGCTTTTCCTTTCATTTAGAACAAGACAGCATGGACTTAAAGGTGGAGTTCGAGACACACTTTGGTATTGCCCACACACGCTGGGCCACCCACGGAGTCCCCAATGCTGTTAACAGCCACCCGCAGCGCTCAGACAAAGGCAATGGTATGTTGTGTGGCCTTGCTTCCCTTTTCTGATGGTTCTGCCTCACTCACCCTGAACTATATTTCAGGTATAATCCTTGCCAGAGTGGGTTCCATGCCTACCTTGAACTGAATTTTTCACCTGTTCTGTCTTCCCAAGATAATCCAAATGTCCCCTCTCCTATAAGCAGGTAGACCTAGATCTTGATCAGGAGGCTGACTCAACTTGGCCCCAGAGTGATACTAACCTCCCAGGTGCCCATTGGAAAACAGTGGCATTTTACTACAGGAGAAACTGGCTCTTTGGAACCCCAGCCCAAGAGTAGAATATGGCAGTGTAATAGTGCATTTTCTAGTGCTGTAATAAAATATCCCAAGATAGGTATTTTACAAAGAAAAATGGTTCATTTACCTCATAATTTTAGAAGCCCAAAGTCCATGTTCAGGTAGCCCAATCTATTTGACCTCTAGTGAGGACCACCTTGGCTTCATCACAACACAGTGGAAAAGCAGAAAGGGAAATTGGCTGCATGTGGAAAGGGCCACATGGGGTGGACTTGCCATGTAACAACCCAGTCTTTCCAGAGTCCCATGAGACCTATATCAGTTTCTTCTGAGAACATGCCCTAATAACTTTCCACTAAGCCACACCTCTTTTTTTTTTTTTTTTTTTTTTTTTTCTGTGGTTGAGCACCTCTGGGCTCAACCACTGAGCCACATTCCCACATCCCTGGCCCTTTTCATTTTTTATTTTGAGACAGGGTGTCTCTAAGTTGCTTAGGGCCTTGCTAAGTTTCTGAGGCTGGCTTTGAACTTACCATCCTCCTGCCTCAGCCTTCTGAGTTGCTGGGATTACACACTGGCATGCACCACTGCGCCTGGCTAAGCCCCACCTCTTGAAGGTTCCTCCACCTCTCACACCACCACACTGAGGATCTATCATCTAGACATGAACCTGTGAGAGACAGGGAAGGGTGGGGTTCCTCCCCCATCCAGCTAAACCCACCTCCCTTCTCTGTGGAGGGTGGTCCTAAGGGAAGGCAAATGACACTGCTGATCATGGTTATTATCTGAGGCGCCTACTCCAACCCCTGAGCCCCAGCAGTGAGGCCTCAGCAGCCAAAGATTTAGATTCAGGGCTCTTAAGATTTGGAGAAGCAGGGGCTTCAACTAGCAGCCTGAGAGCTCTTTTCAGAAGTTCCTTTGATTTGGCTTTCTTCATGTTTTTAAAAATTGGGAGACTTGTTGTGTAGAAAAGTCCAAACTGTTGAGGTCCCTCAGAAAACCTGGATGATACGGGACACTTGGGCTCACAGTACCTCAGAGTACTGCTGACTGGCAGTGGGTCAAGGTCACTGAACAGGGACATGAGAACCTTTGGTGGGTTTGGGGTTCTTCAGCTCTCCCAAGTGCCCCTCATGCCAGCCCCAGCTCATATGTCCCCCAGGATGATTCTCTATGCTATGATTCTCTTAAATCGTATCCTAGCTTCCTATTATGGAGAATATATTGGCAGGTTTGAAGCTCCCAGTGGCAGCTCTCAGGGGCTCTGTGATCAGCTCCCAGGGCATTGGGGCCTCCTGCAATAAGTGGGGGGGTAGGTATGAGATGGAGAGAAGGTTTAATCCCTAACTCCTCCCAGGCCTCCAATGACAGGCAAGAATCTAACACATAATCTAGGCCTTCCAGAGGATGCTCACTTGGAGTTTTTCAGATCAGAATCTCTCTAAGACTTACACCTGAGCATGGTGGGGGAGCATGTTCATCAGAGAAAATGAGCCAGCCAGGGGCCCCACCCTGAGCTATCCCCTGGTATAGTACAGGATCTTGCCAAGCCTTATATGAGAGTAAGGATCAAATACATCAGAACAGTTGTTGGAGGCTTCTTAGCAGGCGCTAAGTTACACACTTGACAAGCCTTACTTGTAAAGTCAGGCCAAGGAGAGAGCAAAAGCTTCCTGATCACTGTCCTTTACCCAGGGCAGATCAGAGGCACCCCAGGGCAGTGTGCAGCACAGATAGGAAGGGCAAATACCCCAACCCTCAACACAAGGTGCAGGATGCTAAATCTTCTCCCCAAAGTACTATGAAGGGGTTTGCCAGCCTGATTTGAAAACAAAGGCTTTTTCTAGAAAATGGAAGGAGAGCAGAGCTTCTGGGGATATACCTGTGCCCTCATGTCTTCCCATAGTGAGGTTTTTTGGTGGGGATTTTTCCCTGGATTCAGTCCATACCCTGAACAACAGGGCATCCCACAACCAGGACAGGCACCCTATACCCAGGATGAGGACAGCAAGCCTCATAGTGCTATGGATCTGGCCAAACCCCAAGTTAGATACTGAAGCTGGTTCCTAGAGAAGCAGTGTGGACTGAGAAAACACTACCAAGACCAAAACACTATTAAGACCATGTGCCCTGGAATATTGCAATTTCAGTCATGTCCTCCTGCCCACCCTAAGGTGATGAGGCAAACCTCATCAGAAAACCCTCACTTCAGTGCACACAATGATTCTTATTGTGTCCCCAAAGCAGAGAAGCTTCAAGGAAACCCACCCACACCCAAACTTGGAAACTCCTGCTCTGACTCAGGATGAGTAATTGAAAAGAGAACAACAAGAGCAATATTTAAAGATTTAATAATGTGTAGAATTTAATAATTTGTCAGTGGGATTCTTATACCCAGCCACTACATCTCATGAGGAAATTACACAAATAAGTTTTTGAAGGGCTGTGTGCATAACTCAGTGGCAGAGTGCTTGCCTAGCATGCATGAAGCCCTGAGTTCAAACCCCAGCACTGCAAAAAATAAAATTAAAAAAGTTTTTGCAAAGAAAACATGGGCTTTAGAGTGCAAATAAGCTAAGACAATAGACTGAAATGAAAAAAAGTGACACTTATGAAAATAATGTAAAAAATACCACAATTTTTATAAAAATAAAAAAATAAACTAGAGAATGGGATATGGTCAGTTAATAGAGATCCAATATAGGGATAACTTGTGTTCACAAGAAAAGATCAGAGCAAGTTAAATTGTAAAAAACTACATAAAGTTGTATAGCAGAGATGATCTGTGGCCATCACACCTGCTTAAACTGGTGTTTTCTTTTTTTCCTTTAATTTTAAAATTTATTTTAAAACTGATACATAAAAACATTAAAATTATACTTATGGTGTACCATGTGATATTTCGACACATATACACACTGTATAATGTTTGAATCACAGGCTTTTCTCATTTAAGTTCTCTCACTTTGTGTGTGTGACCTCACAAAAATAAGCAATAGTTTTTCTTTAAAAAGGGTAAGTTATGGTGAACCTAAAGAATAATTAAATAAGTTTCAAAAGAGGAAATAAAGAAATCTCTCCTGAGCAGAAGAAAAACTTGAATAGGAGATACAAAGAGTCCCTGAATAACAGTTAATACATGTAAGGGGCATCCAACACATCCCATTGGATTATAGGCAATAAAGTGACTATCATCTAGGACTTGTCCCCCAAAACTCTCAGGCTGGCCTTAGACTTTCCCTCCAAATTACTCATTCATTGGTTATTTATTGAAGCAACACAATGGTGACTGAGGCAGACACGTCCCTAGCCCTCCCAGGGCTTTTCAGATGGTCTCACCTGTGCAGGGAGCTGCTCAAAGGCAGTAGGGTATGCAGGTGGTCTAAAGAGAGGTAGAAGAAGGTGCAAACCTGCTAAAGAGATAAGCCTTTGGCCACACAGGAATGTGGGGGAGCCCAGGGATGCTAGAACCTCCAGCTTTTTCTCCCTAAGAAATTTTAAAACAAAAACTCAAAAAAATTTTTTTAAACTCAAATATTTTTGCAATACAATGTGAGTCAAACAAAGCATACCTGCCAACTGTTAGTTTGTGACACCTTTGAGCCTAAATCCTGTTGGGAATGCCTGTAATCATTTCTGGGTAATGAAGGGTTAATCATCCCTCGATCGACATAAATAGCAAAGCCTATTTGATAATATTGTAGACCACAAGGAAGAGCTCTGTGCGTGCGTGAGGGCAGGTTGGTGGATGCTTGCTACTGAAAGATAAATGTGCATTTCCTCAGGTTTGAATTGTAGTTATCATAGACATCAATTCTAATTACAATAAAAAGAAGTTTACTTAACACAAATCTTTGTAGGAATACAGTTTGCATCTTACTTGAACTTCACTTCTTATTAACACTTCTGCCTTCATTAAACTTTCTTTCAGAATTTGTTGTCATCCATAATGGGATCATCACAAATTACAAAGATCTGAGAAAATTTCTGGTAAGATACATTCCCCATGTAACATCTTCCCCTCAGAAAAATTTTAACCAGTATGTTTTCCTCTAAAAACATAGTTAGGGGCTGAGAATGTAGCTGTTTGATCTCTAGAACCACCACAAAAATTAATTAATTAAATGCTGTAGATTTATTAAACATTGTGGCTGAGCTCTAAAACTTATATGGATTGTGTAAAACCCACTCTCAGCCACATTAAGTGTGAACCTCAGCCCCAGCTGAGCCACCATGCCACGAATCTTGTTTGGGGACATACCAGGGCTTTAGAATTTATCTCAAGGACCACTGTCGATTCACAGAATAAAAAAAAAAAAAACCCAGGATTAGGGGTTTTATTAAAATAGTTGTGCCATGTAACACATTGAGTCATACACCAAATGGAATGCAGGGTGGGGAGTAAGACAGTGAGGATCCCCAGTGTGAAAAGGTTGTGGTGGTAGTTGGGATGTGGGTGGATTTGACTCAACATATTTTATCATTTCGACTGCCGTTATTTTGCAATGTCTAGATTAACAGCAAGGACAAACTCCTAAGGAGGGATGATCTCAGGGAATACTAGGATGACTCAGAGGTGTTTGTGCGATTCTGGCAAACATTTTTTGTCTCTTTCCAGTTTTCCTTGTTCTCAACTTAAGTCAAATCATAAGGGGCTAGAGGGAGTTGTCCAGGCCAGTTGTGCAATGACCATTATCTGTCACCCCATGTCCAACCTCCTATTCCAGGAAAGCAAAGGCTATGAGTTTGAGTCAGAAACAGATACCGAGACCATCGCCAAACTGATTAAGTATGTATTTGACAACAGAGAAACTGAGGACATTACATTTTCAACACTGGTTGAGAGAGTCATTCAACAATTGGTGAGTTAGTTTCATCTGTCAAAATTATACCTTCATTTTTGTAAGCACTTACTAGGCAAATTTACACAAAGTACTCAGGATGAAGGATGGGTCATCTAGAGTGTCTGAACATAAGAGGTTACATCCTTGTAGAATTGGGAATTCTATCGTTTGGGTGGTAAACACCAAATAGAAAGTGCCTGGCTTCATGTTAACACCTCAGAGTTGCTGACTGGTTTTAGAGTCGATGGCTATGTACAGTCTCAATTGCACATGTGATCCTGGCATCTCCATGCTGTCATCTTTTCAGTTGAGTTTGTGCACTGTTAGTTACATACATGAGATGGATTTAACAATGGTGGAGACTTAGAATTGTAGTCTGGGCCTCCTGATTGGTAAAGCAATTTTTGGTCACAGGGGAGACATGCCCACATTTACTTATGAAATGGAGAAGGAAGGAAGGGAAGGAGAAAGGAAGAAATAGGGCCTACAGATGCAGATTTCTGATGTTTGATTATAGATGGGTGCAAACAAATGACTCAGGGACAGGAGAGGGTTGCAGTTGTGGGAGAAGATTGTGTTTTTATGATAAATATCAGAACACATCTACTTCTACATGCTGAAGAGAATGGCCCAGGGGAGGGAGCAAGAGAAATCAGTGATGTCCCAAAGGACTATACTGAGAGAGCAAAGTCCCCCACAAAGAGATCAAACTCTGGGGGATTGTGCAAGGGGAAGTCCCTCCTTGGAGGATGAGGTAGAGTAGATGCAAGCCCATGTGGGATGGTAGGAGGAGAAGAAGAAGAGGATCAGATATTCCAGAGCCAATCCTCCAAGGTGTCACTGCCATCTAATAGCTCCTCCAATGTAGTGGCAGCCTGGAGATAATGTGCAGGGACCAGAATCCAGGACATCCTGGATTGGAGGCTGTCCCAGGACCCACCCCCCAGATACCAAAATCCACACATGCCCAAGTCCCTGATAACCTACACACATCCTCCTATATATTTTAAATCATCTTTAGATGACTTGTAATACCTAATACAATGTAATTACTGTGTAAATAGTTGTTATATTGTATAGTTTATGAAATAATGACAAGACAAAAAAAAAGTCTGTGCATGTTCAGTACATATGCAACCATTATAGGCCTAAGTATATAGTAATACACGTGATGACAAAATACCATTTTTTAGCAGTTAGTTGGATCTGCAAATGCAAAATCCACAGAAATGGAGGATGTACAGCAACCAATTTGTTATTGCAGCACAGTATTCCTTCTTTTCTATTTGTAATTTTAAATTTTAGAAATGCATTCCCCATAATGGCACTATTAAACCTGTAGCTTTTCTTTCCTGAAGTAACAAAAGGCTGTTTTTGGTTTAAAAAAAAAAGTGGATTTCTGTTTAGTACTTTATTGTTGACAAAAGCAGCAGGAAAAATGTGAGGCCACTTTGGGTCTGCCTGAAACCCCTTCATTTTGGGCAGTTTTAAAGACCTTTGAGGCCTGGGGACATGGACCTTGGGTCCCCTGGTTGGATGTTTGAGTCAGAAAACTATACAGAGCATGCTGGCTGCACAGGGCCTTGGGTCTGCCCAGGGTTCCAAAATTTGGGGGATTTCACGTGGAAATTTGGATTTATAGCTGGTTATACATAACTGAGGTCTACCAGGGTCATGTTAAACTGCCACAGGAGGGTCAGAATGCAGGGGAGAATTTTGCATCAGAAATTTAAGAAAGAGCTTTACAGAATAATGAGTTAGAAGAGCTAGACTCTAGTTCTGACTTTGCACAAACTCATTACGTTGAAGCACAGAGGGCAAATGACAGTCATAGCCTAGAAATAATGCCAACAGTCTTCTCTTGGATTCTATAGAGCCCAGGCACTGTTCTAAGCACTTACAATGCATTAGTTTATATTCACAAAGGTATAAAAGATAGGACTATTTTTTTCTTGGTTTCAGATCAGGAAAAATGAGAGGCACAGTGGCTGAAGTTCTTGCCCAATTAAGAGATGGAACTAAAATTTGAATTAATAAAAAACTATAAGATATGGGAACTATAATGCAAATAATGATTGTATAAATATGTACAATAAATTCTATAGTAATGTGTAAAAAAATAAACAAAAAAATTTTTAAAATTGAACCAGGCTCTAAATGCAGTCCTGGAATAGCCTCTTTAATATCACAGCTTCTCCCTGAATGGATCCCATCCTGAGGCTCAGTGCAGGGCACCCTGGCCCCGGTTCTTATTTCCTGTGGTTCTAACTACACCAGTTCCCTCAGCTTATCCCAAAGAGGCAGCCCTGATGGGGGTTCTTTATGGGCCTTGGCAGGAAGGTGTGGTTTATGTTGCTCACATGAAATTCACAAGTTCCAGTCTTTGGTACTTCAGCCTAGTACTCTCCTTTTGACTTTTTCTCATGACCTTATCCTGCACAAGCTGTCTCTGCATTTAGCTTCCAAATGACCCCAGGACTACATACTAAGAGGGACCAAGGGAGGACTTGCCTGGGGCAATGGGCTGCAATAGCTTGACTAGCAAGAGTGATTTGCCCTTCATCCTTTTTTGATGTGTTTTCAGGAAGGTGCTTTTGCTTTGGTTTTCAAGAGTATCCACTACCCAGGAGAAGCTGTTGCTACAAGGTGAGGCAAAACACATTGACATTTCCAATAACAAATAAATAAATTAGATAAAATTACTTATCTTGAGGTATAATGGAGGGATAGGGCCTCTGGAAAACTGGAAGGGCTTAATGGACAGCTAACTGTGTCTTAGCTCCAGAGACTGCATCCCACTGTCTCTGTGGCATGTGGCACCGGGGCTCCAAAGGTTTTAGAAAGGGAAATCAGATATTTGGATTGTTAGGTGGAATTTCCGGATTTTTAGACGTTGACAACAAATTCAAATAAAAATAAAACTGTATGGAGGGGACAGAACCTGGTTTTATGGTACTTGAGGTCTATACATTTGGGGGACCCCATGTAAATAAAAGCTTGCAAAATTATGAACATGAAACTAGGAATCACAGTAAACATTGATTTGTATCCAGTACTGAAAAGTCCTTGTAGGTCCAGAGTTCATGCCTCATCACCTTCATGGAAGGGCATCTCAGGAATCAGCCCAGAGGGCCTGGTTCAGCCCACATGTACACATGAACCTCTATTATAGTCACCATTCCCCATAGTTCCCAGTGCTGCTTGGATTCAAAGAAACAGATGATGTATATTTTATATATATATATATATATATATATATATATATATATATATATATATTCAGATAGATTGATCATCCATCCAACCATTCAGCTATACTTATTGAGCACTTACAATGTGCTGGTTTGTGGGGACTTGGTGACTTTCAACCTGGTCTCTGCCCTTAAGGATTAGACAGTTGTGCAGAAAGACAAAGAAAAGCAGAAGGTAGTGATGCTCTGTTATTAGGATTAGAAGTACCTGTGCACCAGGGACCTGAGGTGAACAGGTGTCATCCTGAGGAAGGCAGGCAGCAGGAGCATCTTCCCCCTTCCCCAGGAGAGGCACCAGCATGGAAAAAGACAAGAGGCCCAGAGACAGTGTAGCACTTGAGTATCCCATTTTGGCCAGGATACTGGTAGGGTAGAGGGGGTCACTGAGACTTCCAGTCTCAATGTGTGCTTACTGACACCTGCTGTGGGCCACACATGGAACAGCAGGGAGCAAGGTAACACAGACTCAACCCTTACATTTTGGTGGAGAATTAAGCTGTAGACAGAGGACTTGACTCTAAAGGGCCTCAATGTCATACAGGCTGTGGACTTTGTTCTGATGTCATGGGGGAGTCGTTGAGAGTGTACTTGTGTCCCTGAGAGACCATGGCAGAGAGGGTGAGGCTGTCATTCAAAGACTGTCCTAGTATCCAGGCATAAAATGATAAGAATTTATCATCATTTTATTTTTTTCTAGGACCGGGACTTGTTTACCATTTGGAATACAATTCCTTCAAATCATAGAATCATAAAATACCAGTTGCTTCTTATTAAATTTAGAAGCCTCTATTTAAAATTCGATAATATCTGATATTACTATCTCAAATAAATGTAGAAGAAGGCAGTGTGAGGAAACAATAAAGCTTTATTTTTCTAAATTGCCTATGACTGATGGCTCTGTAACCTCCAGGACAATTTTTGGAATATCCTGGGAGAATTCTATGTCTTGAAGTCTTGAGAAATCATAGAGTTCAATCTACAACAATAAGATTTTGGGGAGCCATTTGCCAAGAAAATTAGATAACCACATATTTTCTCACTGGCAATATTAGAAAGACAATCTAAGCTAGGTCCCCACTGGACCCAGAACTTTGGCTCTGATTTGCTTTAGACATAGTAAAAGATTGTCTGAAGTATTCAAGGTGCTCACAGTATCTTTTTTCCAAGCTGTGAACTCTGTGCTCCACCTTGAGAAGTTAGAAGAGAGGTCCAAACAGATCAATACTACCAGAAAATAAGATCTATTATTGCTGAAGAAATAGTAATATTAGATCAGGTTAACAGATCAGATGACATATGTGGACTGGATTCAGGCTAATGAACAAGTAGATCATTGATATACATTAGCAAGAATTGGTTGAGATAAAATTTTATAACATTATTGAATTAATATGTTTGAGATAGCTCTCAAATGGGCTTACTAAAACATTGTTTTCTTCTTCTTAATGTATTAGTTAACATGTAGGGGAAGAAAGGCACACATCCCTTAGTAACTATAGTCATTCCCCCTTACCTGAGGTTTTGTTTTCTAAAGTTTGAGTTACCTGTAAACACCCAGTGTCCAAAATATCCAGTAGAAAATTCCAGATATAAATCAAATAAATTTTAAATTGTTATAATTGTTCTATTTTATTATTAGTTGTTTTTAGTCTCTTACTGTGCCTAACTTACAAATTAAACTTTATCATAAGTATGTATGTATAGGGAAAATATTGTATATATAAGATTCAAAACTATCCACGGTCTCAGGTATTCTCTTGGAGGTCTTAGAATGTACCCCCCATGGAAAAGGGGGATCACTAAATTGGAATTTTATCTGCCTGGGTTCTGACAGAATTAAAGGTCTAGAATGTGTGAGTTACAAATGTGTTCTGCTTATTTCTCTGTATATCCAATGTATATTTGATTTGCATGCTGCAATTTATAAGAATGGGCAAAGAATTAGGTTTTGAAGGCAAGATGCCATTAAAATCATGGAATACCTTAAATGCATTCCCCAATACAAGTTCTGATCCAGAAAGAAATATTATAAAGTGCTTCACTGAAAATTCCTTTCTGAGATATTCAGAGAGCCAGGTACTGGTGGCTGAGACAGGGTCCCTGGGAAAGGAGACCTGAGTTAGGGGACCTTCATCCTGGTCACCTATAGGAATTACCCCAAGATTCTACCTTGTGAAAATCACTGTCCTCCTTTATAATGAAGTACACTTTTTATAAGTTGATGATTCTAAACTTCATCTAGGAGGTATCACTCAGACAGAGCCAAAACCACCCTGAAAATTGCCTTAATAGCCCACAAAGTAAAGTAAAATCTTCCATTGGTATCTACTGGGTCTCTAGAACCAATCCCCCTACAGATAACAAAATTCTCAGAAACTCAAGTTCCTTCTATGAAATGACATAGTATTTGTGTAGAATCTACCCACATCCTCCCACATACTTTAAATCATCTCTAGTTTACTTATAACATTGAGCATAATGTAAATACTCTATAAATAGTGGTGATGCTGTTTTGTTTGGGAAATAATGACCAAAAAAAGTCTGTATGGGTTCAATACAAAGGCAGGTTTGTTTGTTTTTTTCTGAATATTTTCAATCTGCAGTTGGTTGAATCCATAGAAGCCAACTCTATACACAAAAGTCACTCCTTGGGTGTCCATGAAAGCCAGAGAACAATTGAGCTTGGAGAAAGGGAGAAACAAACAGGGAGATCATGGTCACCCAGGGTTCCTACTCTAAGCGTTTGCAGCAAATGAAACCTGCTTAGAGGACCAAAGTGCTCCTGCATGCCACAAGTGTTCACTCTGATATGACCTAACCCACCCAGGCTTAGCACATGTGGAGATGCAGTGAATTGGAGGAGTCCAGGTTCTGTGAGGATGGGGGTAGGATGTGTTACCAAGCTATTGGGCAAGTAGGTGATGCTGTGTTAGTAAGCTGGGACCCACTTGCTAACCTGCTCATCCCTGCTCCAAATAATGAGAACATGTTCCTGTGGTCAAGGCATCCATTCTAAGGGACCTGTACACAATTTCTGCTCCAGAGAAAGGGCTAGATTTGGGAATCCTACTTCAGATGTAAAGAAGACACCTAGCCTGGGGTGTCCAGGGTGATAGGTAACTTGATGCTTTCTTCTCCCTCCAGGAGAGGCAGCCCACTGCTCATTGGAGTGCGGAGCAAATACAAACTCTCCACAGAACAGATCCCCATCTTATATAGGACATGTAAGTTTCCTGAAGAAGACTTGAACCATGTAGCTACTTAACAGTGTCTTGGGACTCAGCATCTATTCTACGGGGGTCAGCTCTCTTCCGATCAAAAAAAAAAAAAAAAAAAAAAAACAGGCCTTGCTCTAACTGGGACTGCTCTAGATCTAAAGGATTTTCATGCCACAGAGATTTAGCTCCATCTTTATAAAAGCTTTTCATTGTGGATATTTTCAAACATATGCAGAAGTAGAGAGAACAGCATGCAGCTTGGTATAATGGCAACCATTTGATTTGAGTGTTTCTTTGTTTTTGTTTGCCTTACTCTCCCACTATAGCCCTTTAAATGCTCTTGAAATGGTACTGTGCTATTTGGGGAGCTTTTAAAGGATTTAGCTGATGCAGTCAAAGCTAAAAATTGCAAATTTCTCCCACACATATTCAAAGGGGAAATGGGCTCCTTGCCAGCTGTTATGCAAATGACATGGTCTCCTGGGATTTGCAATCCATTCCTTTATTTACTAGGCAATATTGAGAATGTGAAGAATATCTGTAAAACAAGGATGAAGAGACTGGACAGCTCCACCTGCCTTCATGCTGTGGGTGATAAAGCAGTGGAATTCTTTTTTGCTTCTGATGCAAGGTAACTAAACCTTTCTACCTTTCTTTCATGGAATTACATAACCAAGGACTGACTGTCTAAACACAACTTTTTTTTTGAGGTGCTGGGCATCAAACCCTGAGCTAGGCAAGCCCTTTACCGCCAGCTATACCCGAGCTCTATCATTTCTTACTTTCCCCCATTTTATCTGTTTTCTCAGCAAGGGCATAGGTCAGGGCAGATCTCAGCCCCTGTGGCCTGGAATCCTTATATAGTGAGCATACAGTGAGCAATTGGGGGACTGTCTTGGTTAGCACTAGTGGCCAAACTGTGGAATCACTGATCATTATTTGCAGCCTGCATGGAATAACTGAACTAGTTTCTGAAACTTTGAAAAACAAAGCTTGAAAACTTGGATTTCTAGCTTTTCTGGGAAAACTAGCAGATCTGAACTTGCTAGACTGTGTTCCCTCAGCCCCCGTTGTTTGTGAATATTCCAAGCCTGCTTTCTTCAGCTGGGCCAAGTGTCTCCAGATCCCAACCCCACCTTTGCCTAAGGTCTGACCATTCTTAAAAGCCAGAGGCACAATTTAGTAGGTTTGTCCAATCAGGCCCTTTATACTTATTCTCTTGAAACTCTGTTTTCCACTTTTTATACAGTGGTGCATATGGTTACTTTTGTGCAGTGTAATGGCTTTTCATCCTTCTTTTTTTTCAGATGCATTACTCTTAGAGCCATAGAATTTGATAGTTTTCCTCTTTTCATCAGAAATTTTTAGTGTTTGGGGGTTTGTTGTTGTTGTTTGATACTGGGGATTGAACCCAGGGGTGCTCAACCACTGAGCCATATCCCCAGACCATTTTATATTTTTTATAAAGAGACAGGGTCTCCCTAAGTTGCTCCCTAAGTTGCTAAGTTGCTTGTGATCCTCCTGCCTCAGCTACTTGGGCTGCTAGGATTACAAGTGAGCACCAATGTGCCCGGCTAAGTGTTCAGTTTTTGCAGGTACATTTGTATATGTGGCCCTTGGAGAATGAGGGGTTTCCCTCTAGTGGTCCTTCAAATACCACCTTCATGGTTTTTAACCATATCTATGTACCATTTGTGCTATTGATTACCCAGGTTTCTTTTTCATTTACCCACTTTTCTAACTTAAACTTATTTTTAAAAATGTTTTTTAGTTGTAGATAGACACAATACCTTTATTTTATTTATTTATTTTTATGTGGTGCTAAGGATCAAACCCAGTGTCTCACATGGGCTAGGCAAGCCCTCTATCACTGAGCTACAACCCCAGCCCTTTAAACTTATTTCTAAAAGAAGCTCTCTAGTGTCAAGGGAAAAATCATATCACTTTTCAAACAGATTAACTTATTATAAAACAGTGATCCCACATTTTATGGGTAGGTACATCTTGTAGGTTGCTTATAGATTCCCCCTCTTTTATCTTGCTCTGCATATGTACACATGTATGTGTATTAAGAAACTGGGTCATTTATCAGATGAATTTCCTACTATCAGGTTTTGTTGAATGCATCCCCCATGGCATTGTTTAACATGTTCCTTTGTCTACCATATTTCCTGAAAATTACGGTTTACAAGCTTCTAGAAGTTTGACCTTATTCAGGTATGATTTTTGGCAAGAAAAACCAAGGTGGTGGTGTGTCTTTCCATCAGGAAGCATATAAATAAAAGCATAAAAATGCCTCATTGTTTCTCCTTTTGTGCTAGGATCAGTCAGGGATTCAAGCATTGACAGCTTTGTCCATCCATTATAAGACTTCTTGGCTTTTCACCTCTTGGTTGCAACACTCATGGGCGGTCCTTGATTAGAACTATATTAATAATTAGCTAATAATTAGGAGTTCACAAACTGATTATTCTATCATTCCTTCTTTGCTAGGTATAATACTTCTATAAAGAGAAACATGTTTTTTATAAACTACAGGGTTATTTTAAAGTCATATTGTTTTAAAAAGCAACAAATGCTTCCTTCTTTCCCTTTCCAATTCAGAATAGTATGTTGTTTCCTGAGTGTTCTCCAATGTTGATATAGTTTGGATCCTGATTTGAAGAAGCCAAGTATAACAGGATATCCAAGAGATTAATGGGGAGATTTGAACAAAGTTGATATTTGATGATATGAAGGAATAACTAATAATTTTAGATATGATGTTGGTATTGTAGTAAGTTAAAATAGTTATTATCTTTTAGAGATATAAGCTAAAGTGTTTACAGAAGAAATGATAAAATGTTTCTATACTCTATAATGGATTAGGGTTAGAGTTAGATTAGGTTAGGTTAAGTCAGATCAAGCTTAGGGAGGGCTTCACGAGCTTCAAAATAATTCTGGGAGGAGGGGAGAGAGTGTGGAGAAGATGGAGAAGATTCACCTGCATATTGAAGTGCCTAGCAATGGTGTCACTGTCACTCCTAAAACACCACTGATATGGACCCCACATTTAGGAAATAGTGAGTGACTGCTGCTTTGTGATTGTTAAGAGCAGGGTGCTAATTTTTATGCCTCTGTTTCCCTCACACTAGTGCCATCATAGAACATACCAACCGGGTCATCTTCCTCGAGGATGATGACATTGCCGCAGTGGCTGATGGGAAACTCTCCATTCATCGAGTCAAGCGCTCAGCTAGTGATGACCCATCTCGAGCCATCCAGACCCTGCAGATGGAATTACAGCAAATCATGAAAGGCAGGTATCCTCTGACAGTCCATGTGCAACAGCTTCAGGGAGCAGATGCCCTGTGAGGGAAGTGCCTAACATGGTCTGCCCTGCCCTGGGCGGGGAGTCATAGCCCTCTTTGTCCACAGTAGCTACCAGGGCAGGAGGCCTGTGGCTTGCATAGCTGAGAAACTGTGGAAAGCCTGGCCTGGAATCTACAAATAGGGAGTTCTATCTATATCTAGAATCTGTTTGTGCCATCATCTGACTCCCCCATACATTCCTACACCCAGTCATCATTTTTTTCTCTGAGCAGGAGGTTCACAGTAATGGGAGCTATGGACCAATTCTTTATAACTAGAGCCTGCCTCCCTGCATCTACTTTTGTCCCCCTCAATTTCTACTCCACAGAGCAGCCTAAATAAAGCTTTAAGAACATAAATCAGACCCTGTCATCCTGCCACTTAGAGCCCTTCTATTCTCAAAATCCAAACATCCTTTTGCAGCCTATAAGCCTCACCACCACCAAAACCCAGCTCTACCACACTCAATCCTTTGCCTTCTATGCCCTACCTACCCTGTCCCCGCTGTCTCACTGTTACTCAGGCAGGCCAACTGCTTGCCACTTGGGGGTTCTTGCATTTACTTTTCTAATCATAGGACTAATTCCTTTTGTTTTTTTTTTTTTAGTTCCCCTCAACTGTCACCCCTCTGAGTATTCTTCTTTTATCTTTTATCTGCCATGATCCCTCTCTAGTTCCCTCACCTACGAGACCCACCTCTTCACTTGCTTATTTGCATTCTGTGTAATATGCCATATGCAGCAGACAGAGAGAACATTGCTACCAAGTCTCTGGATACCTCTAAAGCATCCAATGTAGCTCCTTAGGGGCTTAACCTCCCTGTACCCAGATGGTCTCTTTAATAATCATCCAGACCCATTCAAATCAGAGCCCCAGAAATGCAAGTGTGGCTAGAAAAGGTTTTTCTTTATTACAGAAGCTAGGGGTTATTAGCTAAGAGGAAAATTGCTGGGGATGGAGATCCAGCTCAGTGGTACAGTGCTTGCCTAGCATGCCCAAGGCTCTGGGTTTGGTCCCCAGCACCACAAAAAGGAAAACGAAAATAAAATTGTCTATTTCTTTGGAATTGCTTAATATGTAGTTCCCTATGGGTGGCTTTTTGGAAATAAAGCATTTTACCTTCTTCTGGCCTTGCTAAGGGGAATATGGTCCCAGAGAACAAGCCCTGCTGTTTGTTCCTTACATGCTTTCAGCAAATGCCCCCTAACCTTAAGTTGCAGGATCTAATATGTAAGCTGGAGATAGTCATCACACCTGCCTCACTTCCTTCTGACTTTTCACCATGAGCACCAGGCAGGATAATACATGAGGATGACCTTTGGAATCTGCATTGGGCTTTACAGTTGTCACTATCATTATTGCTTAATGACTTTTCTTCCTGGTTAAAAGTTAAGCCATAGAAATACAACCAGATTAACACTGACCCACCTCATTGATGTTTATTTAACTAGGTAATTTCAGTGCATTTATGCAGAAGGAGATCTTCGAACAGCCAGAATCAGTTTTCAATACCATGAGAGGTCGTGTGAATTTTGAGACCAACACAGGTACGGTAATCCCAGTACTGAGCAGGGAGCCTCTGTCTGTGCTCTGTACTAGTGAATGCAGTCTCTTTGTAAAGTCAATGTTTACACCCTGCCATTTGGTCCTGCAGTGCTGCTCGGTGGCTTGAAAGACCATTTGAAGGAGATTCGACGGTGTCGAAGGCTCATTGTAATTGGCTGTGGAACCAGCTATCATGCAGCTGTGGCTGTAAGTGCAATACTCTGAACCCTTGATAATGTGGGAGATTGACAGTAGCCGAGGTTGAGACACTGGTATGAAATTTTATCATACATTGGCTTTTCGAATTTGGCAAACTGCTTGCACTCATTCCCATCAGCCCACCAGAAGAATTGGCACCATGCCCTTTCTTCTGCAAGGTGGCCTGTGGGTGATTGAAATCCTCTCACCATGTGGACAGTGAGGCACTGTGTCATAAACTGTCCTAGAAGCCTAGCTGCCATATGTCCCTGTGGTGCCCATGACTGACTTTAGTCTTCATTCTTATTGGCTTCAGACACGGCAAGTTTTGGAGGAACTGACTGAGCTCCCGGTGATGGTTGAACTTGCTAGTGATTTTCTGGACAGGAATACACCTGTGTTCAGGGATGATGTTTGCTTTTTCATAAGTCAATCAGGTAAGGGATGCAGGCATCATGACCAACTTTATATTAATTCACCTCTAGGATCTCTTCTCTGCACCATACCATATGCCACCTTCCTACCTTCAGTTAATCCTCTGTGCACCTACAATGTGCCACACAATCTCTCATGCACCTGGGTCATTTAACCCTTAAAGACAGTGGTATCAGTGGCACATGCCTATAATACCAGGAACTCGGGAGGCTGAGGCAGGAGGATCATAAGCTCAAAGCCAGCCTCAGCAACTTAGGGAGACCCTGTCTCAAAATAGAAAGGGCTGGGGTTAAGCACCCCTGGGTAAAAGTCCCAGTTTTAAAAAGAAAGGAAGAAAGAGAGGAAGAGAAAAAACTTAACCCTTAAAGGCATAAGTTACTGTAGCCATTGTATGGGGAAGGCAAGTGATGTGTAATGCCATGCAGCCAGGGTGTGACAGAGCTGCAATTGGGTTTAGAATCTAGATACACTGTTTTTTCCCATGCCCTATGGATTCTTCCCACTTCTGCCATTCCAAGTCCAGCTCTTCAAGGACAACTCATCATGGTGCTCATAAATATTTGCTGGGTTTACTGTAGTGAAGAAAGAATACCTCTTTGAAAATTCTGTTGGGTTAAATCACCTCATGGTGTGGGCTCTATACCCAAGCCTGGACTTCCAGCTGTATGCAGTACCCACACTGATCAGCAGGGGGAGGCATGGAGAGACACTGCTCTGGTTTAGTGCAAAGAGCAGTCCCCTACTGAATAAACTCTGCCTGAGCACTAGGAAAGAACAATTTGTTCTACCTGGGTGGGGCAGTGGGTCAGGGAGGTGATACTTGACCGAATGTTTGGAGTCCCCTTGAGCTTTAGGAGGACTTTTGAAATGTTTTAGTTATGAAGAATTCCAAGTTTTTATAAAAGAGAAATTCATATAATGCACCATCTAACCTTGACAGTGATCCACAATCTAGGGTCACCCAAACCCACGTTAACCTCTACCCTCCTTTGGATTAGTTTGGAGTCAGTTCCAGACTTAATGTCAGTTCCTCCCATAAATACTTCAGAATGTTTGATTAAAATGATAAAAGAAAAAACAATCACAATGTCATTATCACAACTGAAAAACTGATGCTAATGTTCTAATATCTATAGGGACTTTTAATACTGCTTTCATTTAAAATTTTAAATACTGTTTCCATTAAGTAAAACCAACACAAACACACTCACCTTCTGTCTGACCAGCTTGATACCCAGGGGCTACCACCGTCGCCTTTGAGTTGACCATCTCATCAGAGAATAAAATATTTCATGAATTAGTGGGAGCCATTAATAAAAGAATGGAGGTGGATTTCATGTGAAATAATGCAGTATCAGTTCCTAAGCCCTACATATCAGTCAGTGTCTAGCTCATTAATGCAAAAAAAAAACAAAAAAAACCCAAAACTATCATAACTAGTGAGACTGATGAAAATAGTGCTTCCTTCCCCACTCACCCCACCATTAGTGCTGAGGAAAAGCCATGTTCTAGTGCCCTATATCTGGAAGTCTAAAGAGAAAAAAGGAGAGTAGAGCTGACCATGACAGCACATGGTAATGCCAACCTGCTCTTCAGAAAAGCTGAGATAAGCTCAGCCAAGAGCAGTGGCAAGTAGACATAACAACTTCAGCCTCATGTGAACTTGAATGGTTTTAATGAGATGGTCTGGTTTATATTTAATTATTTTTTATTTTGTACTGGGAATTAAACCCAGGGGTGCTTTACCACTAAGCTATATCCCCAGTCCTTCTTATTTAATTAAATTTATTTATTTTTTATTTTGAGATAGGGTCTTGCTAAACTGGTGAGGCTGACCTAGAACTTTCGATCCTCCTGCCTCAACCTCCCATGTTCATTTAAGTCCACATTGTAAGGCTACAAGAAGTGTTTCCTTTCAAACAAGGTCTATTTGAGAAACAATGTATTGGGGCATTCTTGCTTTTTAAATGTTGAATCTGTTAAGCCTGAGAACTTTCTGACTAAGGCAACTTAGAGTCCTTAGAAAGGGCATTGGGAGCCGGACCCTCCTGTCACCTATAGCTGCGTGGCCTTGTTAGGCATTGATTTCATCCTGCCTCTGAGCCCTTCATCCTCATGGAAAAATTGGGATGGCAGCCCCCACTGGGTTGTCAAGAGAATTCAAAGAAACAGTGGATGAGAAAGCACTTGCCACATAAATAGTAACTAAGTCTTGTATCTAAGAATAAACAGGAAAAAAATGTTGAGCATGTGTTTTCTTTCCTAAACACTGGCTGCCTGAATGTTGGGTACCGATTTCCAAGTAAGAGTGGTGGGTAAATGAATAGAAAGGGCGGGGGAGGAAGGGGGAAGGGTTTAGGCTGGCAGAGAGCCCACACTTGCAGACACACACTGAAAGGGCCCCTCTGTGGCAGGCGAGACTGCAGACACACTCCTGGCTCTGCGCTACTGTAAGGACCGCCGAGCCCTAACCGTGGGTGTCACCAACACTGTGGGCAGTTCCATCTCCCGTGAGACTGACTGCGGTGTCCACATCAACGCAGGGCCAGAGATTGGTGTGGCCAGCACCAAGGTAAGCGGGGAGATCCTGGGCCAGGTGGATGGACTGAGGCCTAGAGGGGTTTCCAGTCAACTGTCCTCCTTCCCTTGCTGGGACACTGGGATGTGGTTTGTGCAATTGCCTCTGCTCAGTTGGCATGCCTCTCTTCTCCCCACCCCAACCCCTTTGGTGATTTCCTTCTCTTTATTGACAGTCTCGTTTTATTTATTTATACCCCATTTTCTTGTCTTTGTCTATGTGGTCCTTTAGCTCTTCAAACATCTTTTTGACAATTGTTTGAAAGTCTTTGCCACTTCCTTCTTTGTAGGCTTACACCAGCCAGTTCATTTCTCTGGTGATGTTCGGTTTGATGATGTCCGAAGACCGAATCTCACTACAAAGCAGGAGGCAAGAGATCATCCGTGGCCTGAGATCTTTACCTGGTATGTTCTAGTACTCTACTTTGCCTTCCTTGACTCTCTTCTTTAAATGGTGCTGTTAATCATGCCCTCCTCCTAGAACTTTCTACCCACTGCTAAATCCTTCCAGCAGTTCCCAGTTGGCCACTTCTCACCAGGCCCTGGAACCCTGCACACAGAGCCCTCTTTACCTCTGACCTCATTCCACTCCCTCCTCTTCCCTGGGCTGCTTCATCCACTGAGTAATAAGCTGCTTTGAGCACTGGGCAGACATTTATTTAAAAATGAACATAATTAGCCTGACACTTCAAGAAAAAAAAAATACAACAGTGCTTGTTGCCCCTAATAAACTTCAAACTTGCAATCAGAGTTTAGAATTTTGGAAAACATATCTGCCTCCATGAGCTTGACCATTCCCCAGCTTTTAAAGACTTTTCCATTGAGACAATGGTGATTTTAACAAGTTGATTTTCTAAAACATATTTTATATAAAAAAAAAAGTTTCCATTTTAAGGAGACTTACTTAGCTTTGTAGCCAATGCATGATGCTATGAAATTGTGCAGAGATTAAAAGAGCCATTTAAAGTTTTTTGATAACAAGGGCATGGTGGCCTATGCCTATAATCCCAGAAGCTCAGGAGACTCAGCCAGGAGGATCAAAGACAGCCTCAGCAACTTAGCAAGGCCCTAAGCAACTCAATAAGAGCCTATCTCTAAATAAAATACAAAAAAAGAACTAGGGATGTGGTTCATTGGGTAAGCGCCCCTGGGTTTAAAGTGCTTGATAACCCAATTAATTTTAATGTAACTAAGTAGAAACTTTATTTATATGATTTCAAATCTGCATTTGCAACTTCCATTTTAAGAAACAACCACTTTTCAGAGGGTAATGTAATATCTGTCAAAGAAGAACATTCATAATTATTTGAAAAAGTTATTTATTCCTCCCTTTTCCAATTATGAATCTCTGTAAGGCCAGATTATATTCCTGTATTTCAACCAAAATAAAGTCACAAATTGAATGTAGAAGCAGCTCTGAGTCAACAGTCTTTTATTTAAAAATCAGACATTAAAAAAGATATGCAATAATTTAAAATAATGCCTCTCTTATTGTATTTTTTTCCTGCAAAATACAGCAGCATAATGGATTTATTGTTATTTTCAATGAACTAATAGATATTTTTAAATTTCTGTGCTATTTTTGAATCTGGTAAGAGCTATAACCCACAAAAACTAAGCCTCTTAAGGACTCAAAATAGTTTTAAAAAGTGTAAAGGATTCTTAGGACCCCCCAGATTGAGCACCTCTTGTCTAATTTATGTTGGCTTTTCCTTGAATCACAGCACACAGTGGGAAAGAGGGACATTAATTTGGAGTGTTCTGTGTCTTGCCAACTGGTGATTTCATATATATGAGCTTCAGTTGCTGTACTATAAAATGAGCAGGAAATTATAATTCCCTACCTACCTTACAGGTACTCAAAAAAGTGTTCACTGAGATATAAATTATCATCTCAACAAATTTCTGGCTGATCATCAAGTTATTTCTCATAATCTGAGTTTAAAATCCTTCTAAACTAATATAAGAAAGCAAAATATCCTGGGTGATTGGAGTTCCAAAGCCCTGTGTTATTCCCCATACATTTCCTTATGAATATTATTTTGAAGTTGAAATGACTGTCTCCCTCTATCCTGTGTATGCATGGCTTAAGAACTGATCAAGGAAGTGCTGTCTCTGGATGAGAAGATTCATGACCTGGCCCTGGAGCTGTACACACAGAGGTCACTCCTGGTGATGGGTCGGGGCTATAACTATGCCACTTGCCTGGAAGGAGCTTTGGTGAGTCCCCACCTCCATCCCCACCCGCTGCCAAGTCCCTATATCCAACAGACTACTGTGAATCCCCTTAGGGCAATATGAGATAGCCTTTGGAGTCCCAAGCAATCAATTGGAGGGAGAGCAGGAAAGGAGCTTGGGGAGAGAAGGTCTTGAAGCCCCACTGGTTTCCCCTTGAGTTTGCACTGAGCACAAGCTCTCAACCAAGTCGTCCTAGTTCTAGGGACACAGAGATGAACAAGAAAGATGCCTGTCCCAATCTACAGGTGAGAAAGGGACAAAGTACTATTGGGGGAGCCCCTCCCAGTGTCTGATCCAAACCAGGCTCTATCTTGAAAAGCTCATTCACATCTTATGAACAGCTTCTGAGAGATTGGCAGTCACTGTCCACATGATACCCAGGAGGAAACTAAGCCTCCCAAAGATTAAGTATTTTGCTAAAAAAAAAAAAAAAATTACATAGAGGAACTAAATGGAACTCAGGTCTATGTGGCCTCTGCTTTTTCTCTCCTACCACAAAGAGCCTGCCTGGGAAGATTTTAACAAACCAGAATTCCAGCATGGGGTCTTTGCAGAGTTCCTTGTTATCCCTCAATCTTCCAAGAGAAACTTGAGATTCTGCAAGAATGAGCTCCAAAGACCCTGCATTTTTAAAATTGGTGACTAGCATTTTTACCCCTGTGTGAATTATGATCCATGCCATGTATAAGGGAGAGTTGATGGAGCAGAGGCAGGATGCCAGGACCAGATGGCTACCAAGATATGGGCACAGAGCTATTCAGGGCCTGAGTCTAGTGCTTGTCCTTTATCCACTATTCACTTGGTATTTATGGATCAGAATGTTCAAACAATATCAATGGGATATAATATTTCAAGTAAGGCAGCATTGGGAACCAAGACAAGGATACCACCATTACTGAGCTGGGCTCCCCTCCTTTCTGATGGGAGGAAGTAACTGTTCCCTTCCCATCACCCCCCAGTGGAGAGGCAGTACCATGCTGGTTGCAAGTGGTTCACAAGAAACATTCAGAGAGTACTGTCGGTGGTCTTAGATGGGAACGCAAACTTGATCTCAGTGAGCTCCAATTTCTACCACATCCATCTCATGGAGATTCTTCTATTTATTTTTTCTTACATTTAATGTTTCATTATAAAGGATGTTACAAGGATATTGATGAACACCAGATGAAGAGAGAGATGCATAGGGCAAAGGAACACAGAGTTTCATGACCCCTGGGCACTCCACCCTCCAACAACCTCCAAGTGTTGAGCCATCTAGAAGCCCCCAACACTGTCCTTTTGTGTTTTTATTGAGGCTTCATTACTTAAGCATGATTGATCCAATTGTTGGCCTTTGATGATCAACTTGACCTTCAGCACCCCCATCCCCACCCCAGAGATTGAGGCTGAAAGCTCCAACCTTCCAATCCAGCCTTGGTCTTTCTGGTGACCAGTCCCCATCCTGAGGCTGCCTAGGAGTGGCCAGCCATCAGGTAATCATTAGCATTTAAAGACATCTGTCACATTGAAGATTCCAAGGATTTTAGGAGTTGTTTGTCAAGTAAAGGGGACAAAGACCAAATACGTATTTCACAATATCATATTCAATTCCCAGTCTTTAAATTCAGATCAATTATAAGATTCTGACCCCTGCCAAAGGAAGCTAGGGGCTGGCACACAGCACTTCTCAGGGGGCACAGTGGAAGCAAGGCCTGGTGGGGTGCACTTTTAGCCTCCTGCCTGGCTTGGGGGTAGGGCTCAGCTGTAGTGGCAAAGTGTGCTGGTGAAAGATGCATATTCAACTGTGTCTCCAAGTTCCTCTTTGGGGAAAGAAAGAAATGTTTAGGCTGTTGCTGGCACAAGTCAATGGCTCCTCTGTGGTCACTTGGAGGCTGATGCTCCAGCTGTCTGCAACTTCCAGGGAGGAGCCTCACTCCTTGGAGTGTTTCCTTGACCCAAATAAATAGCTCTAGGGAAGTAGAGAGATGTTTTCTTTGCTGTCTCATCAGTGCAGTGACATGGATTTAATGATAACTGAATAGAAATATATCTACCTGGACATAGGAAAAATTCAAATAAGAGCCCAAGGTACATGATTTTACTTAATAGGTCAGTTAAGGCAACCCTTTGGAAGTTGTTAAGGGTGTAAAATTGGGTAATGATGCATCAACTAATTGAATAAGGGCAAATCTAAGGAAGAATACAACGCTGTCATTATAAATGATGACTGTGGGGAGGCCATGTGGCTGGCTAAGAAGGGGGAAGAAGACACGCTAGACTGAGGCTGACTTTTAGTGAAAAGTGGGTGGCCGAGCATGGAGCTGAAGAAAGATGGACCTCTGGAGTCTGGAGGCTGGCCTAAGGACACATAGGCTGTGAGCTGAGCTTTGTGCATGCCTAAACAGCAGCCAGCTCTCTCTCCTGGTCCTGGCTTGCCCTCGCTGCTGTTGACCAGTCCATGTATCCATCTGCCTTGCAACCCTCAGCTCTTACCTTCCAAAGTCAACCCTTTCCCAGTACCCCTTTTCCCCTCTGGTTGATATGCTCCAGTTTCCTGTCTACCCAGTGTGACACTAATCCCAACTTGTGTTTCCACAGAAAATTAAAGAGATAACTTACATGCACTCAGAAGGCATCCTGGCTGGGGAGTTGAAGCACGGGCCCCTGGCGCTGGTTGATAAGCAGATGCCTGTCATTATGGTCATCATGAAGGATCCTTGCTTCGCCAAATGCCAGAACGCCCTGCAACAGGTCACAGCCCGCCAGGTGAGGTCTCTCCGCAGGGCTGGGCCACCTCTCCTCTGTTCTCTTCCATACATGGCAACCTCTCTCACTGCCTACCAGCAGTAGCATCCATACCTCAGCATGACCACATACTCGCTTTTAGGCCCCCTTGTGTGTGGTGCACATATTTACAAAGGAACTGAAAGCCAGCCTGCAGCTCTCTAATACAACAGCTATTCAGTGAGGTCAGACTATCCCTAGCTACCCTGGATCCTAGGCCTGGAGACCAGAGGAAGTGCTTACAGTACATAGGAGCTTTTCCCCCAGGGTTGCTGAAGGGCAATTCTGGTGCTAACTAGGCAGAGTTAGGTGAGATTTCACAGAGTAAGGGCACGGTCCTCCACAAGACTGCCCTCATTTCAGACACCAAACTTGGGGTTTATGGGCCATCTACAACTTGCTGCAAATTTTGGAGTTCCCACAGTCCCCTCAGATTCAATAGTTATCTAGAACAACTCATAGAATTTAGAAAAGCCTTATACTTTTAAAATTTTATTACAAAGGATACAAATTAGGACTTGCCCCAAAGAAGAGACCTACAGTGTGAGGGTTCCAAACATGAAGGTTCTGTATCTTCAGGTTGAGTCACCCTCCTGGTACATCAGTATTTACCACCAGAGAGCCCTTCTGGAATTCAAGAGTTTTTATTAAGCAGGCATGATGGATTTGATCATTGACTATGTGATTCAACTTGCTCTCCAGCCTGCCCTTCTGTCTTCTGGGCTTGAAGTCCCAATCCTCTAATCACATGTTGGTTTTTCTGGCATGGTCAGTTCTCATCCTGAAACGATCTGTGGGCCCATCATGAGTCATCTCATTAGATGGACTCAGGTACAGTCCAAGGCCCACTGTGAATAATGACATTTCTATAACTCAGAAAGGGTTTTTCATCTCCCTTCTAGGAACCAGGGATAAAGGCCAGGTTCTTTTTGTTTTTTAAATATATTTTTTAGATGTTGATAGACCTTTATTTTACTCATTTATTTCTATGCATTGCTGAGAATCAAACCCAGTGCCTCACATGTGCTAGGCAAATGCTCTACCACTGAGCCACAACCCCAGCAGATTCTTTATTATACAGTAGTTTTTCCTGAGGTAGGAGGACAGAACCCCCACAGATCCATTCTGTGAGGGCTCATGAAGTCACAGGGAGATGAAATCCAATAGGTTGCTCAAGCCAGCTGCTGCCACATTTGTCTCAGCACAGTGATGTGCGGAGAGACAAACAATCACATCATTTCCCTACTGCAAACCCTCTTGCAGCTTCCCTTCAAACTACGGTGACTCATAAGCCTGCATTATCTGGACCCTTCCTCCTATCTCACTGGATTCCAGCCACTCCAGCCTTCTTTCTGTTTCCCACTCATGCCAGATTCATTCCTGCCTCTGAGCCTTTGCAGTGCATATTCTCCATCTGGAATGCTCTCCCCACAGATCAGAGAGTTGCCCCTTTATCATGGAAGCTCTCAATCTGAATATCTCCTTTTTTGAGAGACCTTCAAAAACCTCATTAATGTCTCTGAATCACATTGCCCCGTTTTAGTGCCCTTGTGGCATTTATCTAAAATTCATCTTTAGTTTTTTAGTTTGCTTGTTTGTGATTTTGTTTTCCATCACTAGATTATGAGCCCATTAAAGTTAGGAGTAGGGCTGTCTGACCCTTTGCAAGGCACTCTAAAACCACTCAGTAATGGGGCGTTAAAGGACACAGCAGGGTGGCAGTCACCTTATCAAGAAAAGGGAAGAAACACACCAAGAAGAGTCACACATTGTTTTGCTTAAGTAGATCGTGCACATCACCTTACGGGTGCATAATTCCAGCAAAAACAATAGACTAGTGTTATCACTGCAGTAATACTGATTCCTAAAAACTTGGCTGTGTGTGAAGTATTGCCTCTTTCAGAGACGGTCTGTTTTATGGTCCTATTTCTCTGCTTTAGGGTCGCCCAATTATACTGTGCTCCAAGGATGACACTGAAAGTTCCAAGTTTGCATATAAAACCATAGAGCTGCCCCACACTGTTGACTGCCTCCAGGGAATCCTGAGCGTTATTCCACTTCAGCTTCTTTCCTTCCACCTGGCTGTTCTCCGAGGATATGACGTAAGTCTAAAAATTGGACTTGACAAAGGAGGAACATAACTCCAGAGTTCCTTTTTTAAAATATATTTCTTATTTTTAATTGACATGTATTTGTACATATCTGCAGACTATAGTGTGGCATTGCACATTATACAATGTGTCATGCCAAAATTCAAAGTTCTTTAAATACTTATTTGGAGTTGTCATAAGAGAAATAATTCCTTTATGCTAACTTCCTTTTAAGATAGCTTGTATCCCCTGAAAACAAGCTGAGAACTGCAAAAACAGAAAGACTATCATTAAGCCATAACCCCATTACCAGAAGCAATATTAATTAGCAAATTTAATATTTTATTCCAGACATTCCTATGCATGTGAATTTTATAAAAATACTTTTCAATATTATATCAAGAATAAAATTTTGCTTCTTACTTTTTTATCATATTACAAGCATTTGTCACATTTTTATAAACATATCACTTACAATATTTAATCATTGCATAATATTCCACCACAATTTTATAACATGATTTTTGTAACAATTACTTAGTCAGTTCTCTATTATATAAACTGTTTCCAATTTTTTATCTTCATATATAGTACAACAGTGAATGTTTTTGTACATCATCTTTGTCCCACATTTAGGATTTGTTCTTAGTCTAGCAAATGATTCAAAATTTTGAGTCTTCTAACACATGTCAGCAAATTATTTTCCAGAAAAAAAAAATTTATGATATCACTAGTAAGAGCACATATTTCATTGTGCAAAGAAATAGATGTTTTATTACTATTTTATTTTGAGAAATTAATTTTAAAAATACATAACATTACAAACAACAATATAACAAACTCATGAACCTGTACATATCACTCAGGGTTGACATTTGCTAACATTTTGTCTTATTTGTTTCTTGTCTGAACATATAAACAAAATAAAACGTTGCAAATAAAGTTGAAGCACACTTTATCAACCATTCCCAATTATATTTCCTTCCCAGCCTCCTCCCTAAAATAACAGGTCTTTAAAATGTGTGTGTATCTACAGCAGAAAAGTGCATTTTTAAAATTGTGTGTGTGTGTGTGTGTGTGAGAGAGAGAGAGAGAGAGAGACTGGGGATTGAACCCAGGGCCTTGTGTATGCTAAACAAGCAAGCTACCACTGAACTACATCCCCAGTCCTGAAAAGTGAAATTTTAACAGTACACTTTGAGCTAGCTGTTTTTAAATGCATGAATCATATCCCTTTAATAGCACTAACATAGCATGACACGTGTCATGTGCACAACAAATATTTATTGAATGAACTAAACATTTAACACAGTTAATGAAGATTCTAGAGTAAGGGATTTTCTTTTAAGATACAGGCGTCAGGATAGCTCATGGTTGGAGGTGACCAGGAACACCTGTCACTGATAATAGTTGTTAAGATGTAGTGTATTGATAAGATCTGTGGGGTCCTGAGAAGTTTCTTTCTTTCCTTGTAGGTTGACTTTCCAAGAAATCTGGCCAAGTCTGTCACCGTGGAATGAAAACAAGACCATAAGGAGACCATCACCAACTTTGGTCTGCTTCAAGACCCATCCCAACTACAGGGATGCCACGTGGGGAAAGAGGGCATTCTGCGTGTTCCCAGTAGAGCTGACAGCTTCAATGTGCCTTGTACCCAAGTGCTTTTGCTTATAGCAAATACTGTTTCTCTGTGTCCTGAAGTTGCCAAGGAGAAGGGGATCATTGTTTACACAGGGGATCAGAGCAGACTTTTCCACTACTGTGCAATAGAGATACAGCTCTCTTCAGAGTAACTGTGAACCTTTTTTTTAAACCAACACTAGTTAGTTTTAAAAGACAAAATATTTATAATGATGATTGTATAGCTTTTAAGTTATTTTTCTAGTATTTGGCTTTCTATAGCCATGGTAACGCCCAGACGTGCATCTCAGCTACCTAGTGCGCTGTTTCTGGACTCATTCCTGGCGAGTGGCATTCATCTCAGATTTGAGCACAAAGCATTGACCCTCTGGACTCCTTTCTATTTTCCCTTCCTTTCTAGGCTGCTCCTGATTCCTGACCCCTGACATCAGTGAAGCCTTTCTAGCCATCTTCCTATAAATTCCTATAAATCCAATAGAAACATCAATTTCCTTCAACATTTTCTTCCTGTCTGTGGCCCAAACCCTTTCTACTCTCTGACTTCCATTTAATGAGATCATGGTTCTTTTTAAGCCCAGGCGCATTTTGGTCCCTGCTCCCCTCCCATAGTAAAACAGCTTGAAATGCCCTGTGCAAGAGGATAGTTTTGAGTGGGCTGCCCTGCTCTCTATTTAAAAGCGTGCACAATCAAAGTACTATGCAATTTTAAGACAATAAAGATAGTACAGTTTTTTTTTTGTCTTGTGTGTATGAATTTGATTAGCTTCATTCTTTTTGTGTGCTTTGGAATTTGAGGACTCCTAAGGAGCTCAACAGTATAGATACGGTTTGAGTGTGTCCCTCAAAAGTTCACATATGACATTTAATCCTCACTTGGAGGTATTTGGAGGATGAAAACTTAATCCAACTATGATGTTTGGAGGGGTCTTTGGGAGCTGATTAAAATTAGTAAAATTATTGGAGTAGAGGCTCCATGATTGAATTACTAGTGGCTTTATGAGAAAAGGGACAGAGAACAGAATATAAGTATGCACATTCTCCCTGTTATCCCCTGTACCACCTCAGGCCTGTGCCAGCAAGAGGGCCATTACCAGATGCTGCCCTCAATCTGGCACCTCCAAAATTGTGAACTAAATAAATCTCTTCTCTTTATAGACTTTTTCAGCCTCAGGTATTTTGTTATAGTAATGCAAAACAGACTAATACAATCAGTAACTGTGAGCATCGTCCACTCACCTATGACCTGTGTGCTTCTAGTACAAAAGTAAGGACTGTTTTACATGAGACAAGAAAATGCAGACTGAGGACTCTTGGCTAAGGGTCTGATAAATCTGGGTTGGGTTGGGTCACATAATATTGCTTAATAATCCAGCACCTAGAAGCAGCATGGAGGGGTGAAACTCTCAAATTGGTATTTTCCCCCCAATAAGCTTATTATAGTCACAGATCTTATTACAATCAGGTAGAAAGAAAGCCAGATCGAGTTCTGAAGGTTTATCAGGTTGGAATTTAGGGTCCTTCTCACACACAGCTTAATAAAATCTTCATGACAGCTAATTGGTGGGTATAGCACTTGTATCTCATTAAACCGTTGGTCTGGATGACCTATAGGCTCTGTAACAACTTTACCATCCTGTACTATACTCTCTGCTTTCTCTACATTTTCAGGTTAACAGTTAGAAGCACTCATGGGAAGTTTGGAAGATAGTAGAAGAGCAGAAATCATGCAGATGGTCCCCAACGGATGATGATTCAATTTAGGATTTTTTTTTTTTACTTTACAATGATGCAAAACCAATATGCATTCACTGAAACCATGTAGTATTCATGGGACCATTCTTTTTTTTTCATTTCAGTACAATATTCAAAAAATTACATGACATATTCAATTTTTATTATAAAATAAGCTTTATGTTAGATGATTTTGTCCAACTCTGGACTAATGTGTGTTTGCGTTCTGAGCATGTTTAAAGTAGATTTTAAAAGCTGTGATAGGTAGATTAGGTTAGCTGTATTAAATGCATTTTCAATTTAATAATGTTTTCAACTTATGATGGGTTTCCAGACATAACCCTACATAAGTTGAGAAGCATCTGTATTCATATTTGTTCTGGCAGAGGCAGATAGAAGTGTGGCTTCAGAAGACAGGGGGTTCTGATATGGCTCTCTGGTACTTCCCTAAACTCACCCACCTCAGGGCTCCTGGTAGTGATGGCCACAAACAGAGGTTTACTGAATCTCCTCCAAAACTCAAGAGCTTGGTAGTTTTCCTTAACCTGTCTTCCAGTACTCACAAATTAATGAGGTGGTAACTCCTGAAAAAAATAACTAGACTGGTTTTCTTCTTCCTGACCAAACTATGGTCAATGCAACTCTTAAGATTAGGAACTTACTGCTAGAGACAGTGGCTTACGACTATAATCCCACAGACTCGGGAGACCGAGGCAGGAAGATCACAAGTTCAAGGCCAGCCTGGGCAAATTAACAAGACCCTGTCTCAAAGTAAAAAATATAAAGACTAGAGATGTAGCTCAGTAATAAAGTGCCCCTTGGTTCAAGCCCAGTACAAAAAAAAAAAAGAAAGAAAGAAACAAAGATTAAGAGTCCATTTATAAACTAGTCACAACATTTATATCCAATTAAGGCCTAAGACATAAAAAAGTATTTCATCTTTATCCCAAGAAGCAATGACCATCCTGACTTTTGTGCTAATTGCTCTCTTGATGTACCTTCTGGTTCCATCTGTGTATCTATCCTCATACAATGTACAGTTGACCCTCTGTATCCATAGGTTCCACATCCTTGACAATCAACCACAGATCAAAAATACTTGGAAAAAAATCCCCAGAAAGTTCCATATGTAAAACTTGAATTTGTTGCATACCAAATACTATGCTGAATTCATATAAAGTGATGTGCAGTCACTGTATCAGGTATCATAAGTAATCTAGAGATGACTTAAAATATATGGAAAGACATCTGTAGTTTATATGCAAATACTATACTATTTTCATAAAGGACTTTGAAATCCTTGAATTTTGATATCTGTGGGAGGGAGGGTTCTGGAAACAATCTCTTATGGATATTCTGGATAACTGTACTGCCTAGTTTTGAAAATGAGGACAAACACACACTACCCTCGCTGGAAGGAGGCTCCAGGAGGGGAGCTGATCAGTTTCCAAGTGGTGGTCTGACTTCCACTTCTCTGGCAGTTGACAAAGCTCCTTCTGGGGAAGTCATGAGTAACATCATCAGAGGGTCTTCAGAAACACAGGGCTAATACAGCTGGGAACTTGGCAGGGTGAGGTGGGGACATGCAGCTGAAATATGGTCAGAGGGAGGAGCTGCTCTGTACTCTGTTTCTAACCTCACCATGGCCTACTTCCAGCTCTTGGTGCAAAGTGGAAAACTTTTGTGAATAATATGCATATCCTCAGCAGAGCAGGAGGGGAGAGATCCTCTTCAGCACCTGGTCAAGATAAGCCAAATACTGTTGAAAACCTGAACCAAGCTCTCCTGGGCATTCTGTCCTCAAGTTAAAAGATGGCTCTGTGTACATGAGGCTCTTAGCAGTGACAGTCTGCCTCTTGGGTCTCATTGCTGCATTATGGTTCAATTGCCCTTCACATCTGTGCAGAGTTTTATGTCAGCTTCACTTTTCCCCATCCTCCCAGTGATTCTTTCTCATCTCATGAGTTGGTTCCTGTTTCCTCTCTCTTCTTTCTTCTGAGTTTCCTTCTTTTGTTTTGGTGGAGCACATCATTCTTGAGGTGCTACAGTTTGAATGTCTCCACCAAAACTCATGTTTAAATTTGACTCCCATTGTCACTTATTAAGAGGGTAGAAACTCAATCTAACAATGGCATTTGGTGATAGAGTGTTTAGGAGGTAATTAAGGCTGAATGAGGCTATGAAGGTGAGGCTATAATCTAATGAAATAGTGGTTTTATAAGGACAGGAAGAAAGACCTGAGCTAGGACACTCTGCCCCTCTCAGCACATGATGTCCTGTATAGCCTCAGGACTATAGAGAGTCCATACCAGCAAGGACCTTACCAGATACAGCTGCCCAATCTTGAACTTTCAGGCTTTAGAACTGTGAGCCAAATAAAACCTCTTTTCCTTATAAATTCCCAGTATGTGGTTATTTAGTTATAACAACAGAACATTATTTAGTCCATTCAGGTTGCTATGACAAAATGTAATATCACTAACTAGGTAACATAAATATTAAAAATTTATTTTTCACTGTTCTGGAGGCTGGGAAGTCCAAGATCAAGGCACCTTCAGATTTGGTGTCTGGTGGGGGGTCACTTCCTGGTTCATACATGGAAGTCTTCTCTTCGTGTTCTCATATGGCAGGAGGGATAAGGAAGCAATATGGTTTGTATGTGAGGTGTTGCCCCCAAAAAAGACCATGTTAGAAAATGCAGGAATGTTCAGAGGTAAAATGATATGAGAGCTGTAATCTAATCAGTGGGTTAATCCACTTGATGGATTAATAATTTGAATGGATACTGGATGGAAATCCATGTAACCATGGGCAGGGGTAGGGGTTGGAGATAATGGGGGTCATGCCCTTGGGGATCATATATCTTATCCCTGGCTCTTTGTGCTCTCTCCCTGCTTGCTGGTTGTTGTAAGCGGAGCAGCTCTCCTCTGCCACACCCTTCTGCCATGGTGTTCTGCCTTGCCTAAGGCCAAGAACAATGAAGTTAGCCAACCATGAACTGAACCTCTGAAACCAAGGGTCCCAAATAAAATCTTTCTCCTCTAAGTTGTTCTTGCCAGATATTTTAGTAAGAGTGATGAAAAACTGTCTAACACGGGGATATCCCTGGGGCTTCTATTTAAGAGCACTAATCCATTCCCTAAAGACTCCACTTCTGATACCATCGCACTGGAGGATAGGATTTCAACATACGAATTTGGAAGTAAAGGAGACACAAACATTCACCCATAGCAAGAGGTAAATTTTCTGAGCACTTACAGGTCTGGAACTAACTTTATTATTCATACTCAATTGAGGGTTTACCCAAGTGCAGAATTCTAGGTTAGAAAAAAATTTCTTGTTCAGAATTTTAAAGGTAATGCTCTACCATCTAGGTCCCACTGTTGCTATTGAGTCCAAAGTTTCTCTGATGTGACATGACACCCTGCACCCCCTAGAACTTTCCCAGATTTCCAAGCAGTGCATCTTGGTATCAACAGGCCTATTATATACTCAGAACTTCTGATTTGCCCACCTAAAATCTGAGCAGACACCAGGCGCAGTAGCACACATCTGTAATCCCAGGGGCTCAGGAGGCTGAAACAGGAGGATCTTCAGCAAAAGCAAGGTGCTAAACAACTCAACGAGACCCTGTCTCTAAATAAAATACAAAACAGGGCTGGGGCTGGGGCTCAGTGATCGAGTGCCCCTGAGTTCAATCCTACTTGGGAGGTTGAGGCAGGAGGATTGCAAATTAGAGGCCAGTCTGGGGTTCATTTTTCCACTGGTGTAAATAAAGAAAGAAAGAAGTAGAGACTATATGGAGAAGGAAATTTTGAAAAAAAATAAAACCTGTGCTGTTCAGAAAAAAAAAATCACATCCTTAAGACAAGATCTATTCATTTAAAAAGTATTCAATACACATGAGTATGTCCCTGCTCTCTCAGCTGAGGTGGCCTAGAAGCAATGACATCTGAGTAGCAGCAAGCATACCCAAAGTTTGGATTTTGGTTTCTAATGCCACT